ATTGGGGGTGCAGGGGGTTTTGCTGTCCCTCCCCCGACCGCTGCTCCCCCCCAGGTTGGACCTGAGTAACTGCTCCCTGCACAGCCTCCCCCCAGGGCTGGCCGAGGCCACCACCGCCATCGTCCTGTGAGTCCATGTGTCCCCTCGTGCCTCTGTGAGGGGCTGGGAGGGTGTGTGTGTGTGTGTGTGTGTGTGTGTGTCTGGTGGGACTCCTCCCAATGGGCCAGCACAGCCCCTGCCTCACTGCTCCCCACCCCACCGTCCCCCTGTACCCTCAGCACCCCGCTGTCCCCAGGCCCCATGGCACCCTGGGGACACCAGTCCCTCTCCGTCCCGTTTGAGGAGCCCCCAGAGACTGGAACGAGGGAAACATCACCCCCAGTTTTAAAAGGGGGGACACTGGGAATGACCCCCCAGCTGGGCAACCTCCCCTCTGTGCCCGGTCGGAGCACGGAGCAGACACTGCTGGAGGCTCTGCTGAGGTGTGGGGCTGACAGGGACAGTAGTGACAGCCAGCACGGCTTCACCCAGGGCAAATCCTTCCGGACCACCCTGTGTGGTGGCCTTCCACAGGGGAGGGGCCGTGCTGGTGAAGGGAAGAGCCACCGATGTCGTGTCTTGGTGGCTGTGGGGCTTTTGTCACAGTGTCACACAACGTCCCTGTCACTAAGTTGGAGAGACAGGGGTTTGGTGGGTGGGCTCTTCCCTTGGGGGGGAACTGGTCACGTCCAGGGCTGCAGCCAGCGAACGGCTCAGGGTCCAGGTGGAGATCGGTGACTGGTGTCCCCCCGGGCGCCGTGTCGAGGCTGGTACTGCCTCAGCCTGGCCTGGCTAGAGGTGTCCCTGCTCATGGCAGAGGATGGCACTCGATGGACTTTAAAGGTCCCTTCCCATCCAAACCACTCTGTGACCCCAGAGGCACCTCATCCCTTACCCCCCGCAGTGATGTGGCACGGAGAGGGGACCCCCACCCTGTCCCACAGCCCTCCCCTGCCCCGCACAGGGGCACCCCTGGGGACGGTGCTGTTCGTGGGCCCTCGGGGGGGTGGGCAGGGGGTCGATGGCACCTGGTGTGTGTTTGCAGGGACCTGAGGGAGAACCCCCTGACGGCCCTCCCCGACAGCTCCTTCCTGGGCTTCACCCTCCTGCAGCGACTGTGAGTACCGGGGTGGGGGCGGCGTGGGGCCGGTGCTCAGCTCCGATTCCCGGTGCTGGTGCCAAGCTCCGCGCTGTGGTCCCGGTGCGTGGTCCCGGTGCTGAGCTCTGCCCCCAGCGCGGTGCCGGTGGCACTGGAGTGCCCGGGCGGGAGCAGCGCCTGGGAGGAGGTGACGGCGAGCGGGAGCAGCCGCCTCTGCCAGGGCCAGAAGAACCCCTGCAACAGCTCTGAGGAGATCGGTATGGCGGGGGACGGGGTGCTGTGTCCCCGGCACCGGGGAGGGAGGCAGGTGGGGGGTGGCCCCAGCCCGGTGACTCCCCCTGCTCTGCTCCACCAGCCTGGCCGTGCCCTGAGAATGCTGCCTGTGCCCCGGATGGCCCCGGGCTCATCCAGTGCCTCTGCAACAGCCCCTTCCACGGCTACAAGTGCCTGCGTGAGGTGAGAGCCCACCAGACAGGACCCCCCTTGCTCTGAGTGCCCCAAATTGTGGGATGGTGGGGGGCAGCACCACTCACTGCTGCTTCCTGGCAGGGCACCTTCCCCGTGCTGCTCTTCTGCGGGGTCCTGGGAGCCGTCACCCTGTCCCTGTCCCTCCTGCTCTGGGGCACCCAGCGCCGGAAAGCCAAGACCCCCTGAGCGGGGAAGGGGGATCTACGCCAGCACCTCCGCCGAGCTGGGGGGCTCTGGGGGCTGCGTGTCGTGGGGGGCTCTATGTCCCGGGGGCTGGCTCCTCGTGTCGGGGCTGGGGATGAATAAAGCCCTCAGCATCCTGTCCGTGTGTCTGTCTGACCCTCACACAGAACTGGGGTGCAGGTGGGGGGCATGCAGGACCCTCCAGGCTGCGGTGGGGAGCTGGCCTGGGGGGCTGGGAGCGCCTCCTTCCCCCACCCACGCTGTGGGGGTAGAACTGCTGCTGCCTGTGGGACCCCCGACCCAAAATGGTGCAGTGTGTGGGGTTGGGATGGAGAGAGCGTGATGCGGGACTGGGGATGCACAGATCGAACACGGGGAGGGATGGCGGGAGCCGTGGCTCTGCCCTGGACTCACCGGTGGAACGGCGGAGATGGAGGTGGCGGGTGATGGGACAGCGCTGGTGCCTTGTCCAGTCTCGGTCTCAGCGCTGGTCGGTCCGTGCCCTGAGTGGGAACAGAACGTCCCGAGCCGGGAGGAAGGAAGGGCCGGTCCCGGTCCGCCCCATGTTGCTGCGGGGAAGGTGGGAGCGGAGCTGGGGACAGCGGGGGGTCCTTGTGTTCCACAACAATCATCGGAACCGCGCGATAACAGGCAAAAAACGGAACTCGGCTGTTTATGAACAGGGTGTTAATTTCCTGCCGCGATGAATCCAGAGGTTCGTGACCACCGGGTCCCACACGCGATACCCCCCCGCGGCCTTGAACCACCCGCGGCTCAGCCCTGCGCGGGCGGCGGGGACAGGGACAACAGGGACAGAGCAAGGATGATGGGGAAAAACCCGGATTCTAGTAATCCACCGCAATGGGAGTTCTACTGATTTATTTCTGTCATTAAACCGCCGTGACCAGGGGAGAGCGCGAACGCAGTCCCCCACTACCACAAATTATGCAGTCGAGTTTCCCGCATTTGGGGAAATCGCAGGGGTCAGCACACCCGGAGTGCAGGGGATGAGCCTCGCCCTGGGAAAACCACCTGCCTGATCATGGTGTCTCCCCTGCCAGGTAAGTATGCACACACACCCCCACGCACAACACCACAAACGCACGCACACACACACAACGCACGGACACCAACACACGCCCCCCACAAACACGCACGCGCCCAAACCCGAGAGCCCACGTTGGCCCGGAGCGGCGCTGCCGGACGCGGGGGGGGCCGGCCGGGGAAGGGGCGGGGCCAGGAGGGTCGGGGCTCCGCCCACCGCCCCGCCCCACGGTCGGTCACTCACGGGCACCGACACACCGGGACCGGAGCGTCGCCGCCGCCGGGAAGCGCTGCCCCGGACCTAGCCGGCACCCGCTCGGACCGAGGCCCGCTCCGGGCTGGGGGCACCGGGGCTCTGGGGGCACCGGGGCTCGTCTCCCCGCCGCCCCCGGGGCTTCGCGGACTTGGACGCTCAGCCGGTACCGCAGGGTTCGTCTCCCCGCGGTCCCGGGAGGCCGGAACGGCGGCACCGCAGCTGCCCCCTCCCGCGGCCGCCGGGACGAGCAGGTCATGGAAGCTCCGGCCGTGGCTCCTCCGGTGGCCATCGGTCCCGGTGACAAGTGGCCCGGGAGCCGGCGGGAAGGGGCGCTGCCCGCCCTTCCGTGCCAGGGAAGGGCTCGGGGGCTGCACCGTTCGGAGGGACCGCGAAAAGGCCGGTTTCTACGTTTTGGGCACAAAACGCCGCGGGGGCGGCAGCGAGCGGCTCCCCGGGGGGGCAAACCTCAGGGTGCTCCGGGAGGCCGGAACGGCGGCACCGCAGCTGCCCCCTCCCGCGGCCGCCGGGACGAGCAGGTCATGGAAGCTCCGGCCGTGGCTCCTCCGGTGGCCATCGGTCCCGGTGACAAGTGGCCCGGGAGCCGGCGGGAAGGGGCGCTGCCCGCCCTTCCGTGCCAGGGAAGGGCTCGGGGGCTGCACCGTTCGGAGGGACCGCGAAAAGGCCGGTTTCTACGTTTTGGGCACAAAACGCCGCGGGGGCGGCAGCGAGCGGCTCCCCGGGGGGGCAAACCTCAGGGTGCTCCGGGACCCCTCGGCAGAGAGGCCCCGGGAGCGGAGCGTCCTCCGCAGGGAGGAAACAGCAAGGGACGCTCTCCCCGGGGGGACCGGGGACGGGTCCGCGTGTCCTCGGGCACCGAGAGCCCCCAGCCCCGCGCTGTCTCCCCCGCTATGGCCATGTTGAGCCCCGGAGGCGGACGTTTCCCCCGAGGCAGCGCCGCTGGTTCCTCCCGGCCTCCCCGTTCCGGCGGTGCGGGCTCCGCCGCCCGTTCTCGCCCTGTTGCGGGTCTGTGGGTCTGCGGGCGCGGCGGGAGCTGCGCGTTTCTCCCGGCAGCGGCGGGAGCGGGGATCGAACCCGCGAACTGAACGAGCGCGAGGGGGCGGGGCCCGGAGGAAGGGGGCGGGGCCATGCGGAGCGCGCGGCGGCCGGCAGAGCGGCTCCGGGGCCCGGCGGG